AGAGACCAGGACTGCTGACTCTGTATTCTCTGTGCCTGCCAGCGAGCTTGGCAAGAAGGAATCTGAATAGACGGTGGATGTCAGGACTGGACAGATCTGTGGGTGGCTCTAACAGCCACATTTGCAACGTACTTTGAGGTCTAAGGTCCTTTCACTGTAATTGTCTCATTTATTCCTCCAAGACCGATCATCTCCCCGTAGGTTCAGATAAATGACTTTTCCAAGCTCACCCCTCCAGGAGGGGACTGGGCTGGGATTTGACTCCAGGTCTCCCTGACTCCAGGGCTAGTGTCCTCTCCCTCCCTCTGACCCTGACCCCCGATTCTAACACTGTGCACATGGTACCCATGAGGACACCGAGGCCCGGAGAGGGCAACCGCCTGCCCAAGGTCACACTGTCCTTACCCCATCCTGTGCCCTTTCCGCTGCTCAAACAGGAAGGTGACGAGGTGAGGATGGGGTCCTGGGCTGCTGCCTGGCCCTGCCCACGGCCTCCTTCCCGTTTGTCACGAGCTGAATGTTTAAATCTTGTGCTTAGCATTTACTCTGAAATGACTTTCATCTGATTTCCCCCTTTGCTCACCAATTTAGCTGTCAGAGTAAATAAATGTGATGCCGGGTCTCCAGCCTCCCCCAGCTCACATTACCCTCCTAGAGTTACTCCCCGGCGGGGTAGATCCACTGCTGGGGGTGCTCCCCAGAATTATCCAGTTACTAATGAAGCCTCTGTGTAAACCCAAACTTGGGACCTGGGCTCAGGTGGGGGAGGATGGCAAAACTCACCTGGAAGGATGAGACAGCCACACCCCATTTTAGGGGCCAGGAGGACTGAGCACTGGAGGACATTGTCCGGGCTGAACGCTGCTGGCACAGCATGCGTAGGGACGTACGATATACATGTGAGATACTTAGATGGGGCCGGGAATAGAGGCAACCTTTTTTTTTCTCTCTCTAAAGATTTATTTATTTATGCATACAAGAACTGGGGTACAGGCAGAGGTGTGGGGCGTGAGGGGATTCACCAGAGACAGAGTGGGGAACAGAACAGGCAGACTGACTGAAATACACTGCTGAGGGGAGCAGCGGGCGAGACAGGAGAGGTCTGCTGTCCATGTGAATAGCTCCCTGGCCGGGGATCGATCTCGTGCTGCAGAGGCTGTGGATTGTTTCATAGGTTGTGCTCAACCCCTTGCGCCACCAGGGAGGCCCGAGGAAACATTTTTAAAACAGTAGATTTTAATATCTGGTTAATTGTCACCAGTTTTCTGGGCCATAAGTACTGCTCTTTTGTTTCTGTTTTTGCAAGTAAGGAAGCTGAGGCTCCAGGAAGCTAAGTGACTTACCCGAAGTCTCCTGTAGGGAGCAACGGAGTATCCTGATGAAATGTACCAAACTTGCTAATCCTGATTTTGCCAAAGTCGCTCCTATCTGGACTCTCCTTCCTGCAGGGTCCAGAGTTGTAAAAAGAGAAATCTCTTTTCCAAAGTGATTTCACTTCTATCCTCTTTGAAGTCAGGCAAGCGCTGGGTTGGAATAATGACTGCAACTTCCTTAGGTAAGTTATTCCGGAGAATATTTGATAATTTGGTTGATTTATGCCCTGCCTTCCTCCATTAAAAATTTGATGTGGGCACCTATTAAAATAGCAACTGGGAAACACATCCAGGCCATGCTGTGATGACAGCTAATATTTATTGGCTGCTTTCTGTGTGCCAGGCATGGTTCTAAGCCCTTCTACGTAGATCATTTCTTTATTGACACAAACACAGAAAATGGACAGACTCTATTGGATCCACACTTTACAGGTGAGGAAATCAAAGTGAAATGAGTGGCTCAGTAATTTGTCCAGGGTCACCCAGGCAATCAGGGGCAGTGCCAAGACTGGCACCCAGGGAGTCTGGCTTCAGAGTCTTTGTGCTGCACTACTGGGTTTAATGTCTCTTATTCCAGTTTTGATTTTCCGAGCACTTAATCAGAACTCAGGAGAAGTATTATAGAATAGGTTAAGACTCTGGGTTCTGGATCTACATGCTAGAGCTTGAAATGAGACTCCTGTAACTTATTTCTTCAACTGTAAAGTAAGTATAATAACACAGCCTTTTTGAAGGGTTGCAGTAAGGGTTAAAGAAGATAAGGCATATAAGAGAGTGCTTGGCACATAAAAGCTCAATAAATGGTAGCTTATTGTTATCACTTAGTGTTGCTTCACTTTCTTCTGTATTATAGGATTGTCCGCCCCTGAATCTTTGCTGTCCTCTCTTTACCTGGAATACTTTCTTCTTGCCCCTGCATGCATCTAATTTCTCCTGCTTTTTAGTTTCAGTTCAAGCCTCTTCTGCACCTCTTGCCCAAGGAGTTTTGCAAAGTCTGTACCATCCTGGGAGTCTTCTTTCCCAGGGTCCTTCTGTATGCACACACCTGACACAAATATTATGAGACACACACATAATGTTTAATGACGCCCTGCTTCCTCCCACCAGCCAGTGGAAAGGGAGAAGAAAAGGAGGTAAAAGTGTCTTATTATTATTCCCATTTTGCAGATGAGAAATTAATTTAGCCCCTCGTGGTGAGACCTGGAGTCCTATCAGGCCTCTTGACAGATAATATGCAAAGTGTGTGTGTGTGTGTGTGTGTGTGTGTGTGTGTAGAAGGAGAGTGTGGACATGCTCATGTGTGTATCCTGATGTCAGATGAATCTGGTTTTTAGTTCTTGGCTCTGGCAATTGTTAGCCATGTAGGATCATTTTTGGACATATCACTTGACCTCTCTGCACCTCAGTGTCTTCATCAGTAAAATGGGTACAATAAGAAACACTACCTTGGGCCTCCCCGGTGGCGCAGCGGTAGAGCGCTGGGTTGCGAAGCTGCCCGCAGCCTCCGCGGCGCCGGTTCGATTCCCGGCTGCTCCCCGGCCACCGGAGGAGGGTCCCACATGGCGCGCAGACCTCTCCTGCCGCCCGCTGCTCCCCTCAGCAGTGTACTTCGTTCCCTCTGCCTGTTCTGCTCCCCGCTCTGGCTCTGGTGAATTCTCTCGCCCTCCCGCGCTTCTGACTGTACCCAGTGCTTGTGTAAACAAAACAAATGAACAAACAAATAAATAAATAAATAAAACATGCCTCTATAAAAAAAAAAAAAAAGAAAAAGAAACACTACCTTATAGGGTAACTTAATGAAAAGAAAATAAGACATGATGATAACATGCTAAGCCTGTCGCGGATTAAAGTTCCCAGGATGTGCAAAAGAGGAATTGGAGAAGGAGGTGTGTGGTCACAGATATGTGTGCTGGGGCACATGTGTGTATACATGAGTGTCTGTGCACACTTCTCACCTGCATTCACGCTGCAAACTGTGCTTTTAGTATCAAAGAGCAGGATTCAGAGAGAAAGTTTTTACTCTGAATTTCTGTGTCTAAGAACAATACATGGCTGGAATGCAAGGGTGGGGAGATGCCACGGCTGGGACAGGCTTGATTCTGGGAACCTCTGTGTCTCGAAAGGACCAGATGTTGTTATCTTTCCGAAAAATAGGTGTGGGTCTTTCCACTACATGGGTGTGCAATAGCCTTGTCTACCTGTGTACCTGACACAGCGCCTGTGTGTGCACGCCCGAGGCTGTGACTATTGAGAACCCTGGGTGGGTCTGCAGAGGTGTGGATGCTGTTTCTGCCTATAAATGCTATAAATGGTTATTTTGACATCTGCAGGGATGTGTGTGCATGTCTGTGGGTGTGTGAGAGAGAACATGAGGCTTTACATGGGCCTGGAGCTCTGGGGGAGTCCGTGTTCTCTAGTGTGGCTGTGTGAGCAAGTGTAAGAGCAGTTGTGTGGGGTGTTTACATTTGTAAATGAGGGCAATTATGGAGATGATGGCATGTGTGGCGAGATGGAGGTGGGGTGTCGTGGTGTCTATAGGGCTGGCTCAAAGTCTGAGCGTGCATATTTGTTTTTACAAGAGGATGTATATTTACATGTGTCTCTCTAGGCTCAGTTTGTGGGTGGAGACAGGGACCGAGGCCGCAGGGACCGAGGCCGCGAGTGTCCACTTGTGTGTACACGTTGTAGGGTGTCAGTGCGTCTAAGTCTGTCTTTGAGGTTGCGGGTTTCGTGTCTGTGTGTCCGGGGACTGCGTCTTCTGTCTAAATGTCTAGGCCTCCCTGCTTTCCCCACCTCTCTCACCACCAGCCGGACCCTCAAGAAGACCAGATGGGCATTAAACTGAAAGGCTCAGCAAATCCTGAGGGGAACAGGGACTGACCCAAGCAATCCCTCCCAGGGGAATTCAGGGGTACAACCTCCCCCTTCCAGGAATATGTCCCCCCCACTCTAATCCCATGCGGTCCCCAGGAGCTGCCGCACTCTGGTGATGGAGCAGAGCGGTACCTGTGCAGGTGTGTGGAAGTATGTGTGGCTACCTTGTGCCTGTGCCTGGTGCAGACAGGTAATTATTTACACCAGGAGGGACACCCGTGTTCGGAAGTCCGCCGGCGAGAGTATCATGTGTGCTTTTCGATGGCGCCCACCTCTGTGACCACCGGTACCTGCGCGGGGGCCCGGGGTGTCCAGGGCCCGGGGTGCCCCTGAAGGGGGGCAGCGCCCAGGGCCGCGCGGACCCGCGCCTGCCGCGCCCCTGCCTGCCCGCGCGTCCCTGCGCCTCCTCGGCGAGCCGCCCGGGCCCCCGCGTGTCTCCGTCTCTGCGCGCGCGTCTCTGGGTCGCTCCGCGCCGCGCGTTCTCTCCCCCGGCGGGGAGGGGACGGGTCACACATGACTCATCTCGAGCCGAGCGGGGCTCCAGCGGCAGGGCGGCCGCCGCAGCTGGCGCGGGAGGAGGGCGGAGAGGAGGGCGAGCGGGAGGAGGAGGGGGCGGGGGCCTCTCCAAGTTTGTCGGGACCTTCTTGCGAGGCGGCGGCTGCAGCGAGGGAGGCCGGGGCTGCGCGCGAGCCGCGGGCGGGGACGGGGACGGGGACCGGGCCCGGGTCGGCCGGGCGGGCGCCTGCGCTCGGCTCCGGCTCCTGCTCCAGCCCGTGCGCCCGCCGCGGCCGTGGCCCCCCTCGGCGCGGCTCCCCGCGCTGCGCGCCCGCCGCGCCCCGGCCCATGTACTGGAAGCATGAGAGCGCCGCCCCGGCGCTGCCCGAGGGCTGCCGGCTGCCGGCCGAGGGCGGCCCCGCCGCCGACCAGGTGAGCGCGCGGGCGCCGGGATCCGCGCGGGCCGGGGCCGGGGCCGGGGCCGGGGCCGGGACCCAGCCGGGCCGGGCCGGGCCGGGCCGGGCCGGGGGGCGGCGGCCGCGCGGGGAGGGTGCGGGGGGCGCCGCGGGCGTGTGTGTGCGAGGGTGGGAGCGCGCGCGGGCGCGCGGGGGGGTCGTGGAAAGCGGGAACACATTATGCAAATGTTGGAGGAATTTCTCAAAAAAGCGATTTAGCAAAGACACAGGCGAATCAAGAGGCGCGCGGCGGGCTTTGTCCGCCTGAATAGGCGCTGATAGAGCGCGGCGCGGGGCGCGTGCGGGCGCGGCGCGGGGAGCCCGGCGCGGGGCCGGTCCCAGGGGCGCGCGGGCGCCGGGGGTGCCGGGGCCGCCTCGGGCACGACCGTTCTCGCTTCCTGGCCCCACTTCGCCCCCCACTTCGCCCCCATTTTGCTCGGGGTTTCCCTCACGCCGGCCCCCGAAGGGCGCCCGGCTCCGTGTCCACATCGCCGCGTCGGGGTCGCCGCGCGCGCGGGGCAGGCAGGGCTGATGCTCCCGGCGCTCGGGGTTTTATTTTCCTCCAGCGCCCTCCCACCCCCATCTCCTTTTTATTTTCTTTCTTTCTCTCTTTTCTCCTTTTTGCATTTTGTGCAAGGGAAGGGAAGCGAGCAAGGGGGGCGGGTGGAGGAAGAAAAAATTCGATTTTTAATTACTACCATTAAAAAATCAAATTTGCAATTCTTTGGGCGGCCTGATGGATCTCACTGATTGACAGTTGGAATTGACACTCTGGCTACCTCTTATCTTGGGCATTCACGACAATTTCTAATTGCAGGTAGTTTGTGTGTGTGCGCGTGTTTTTTTTTCCCCCTCCGAGGCTTGGATTGCAAGGGAACTAAGCGATTACTTCAAGAGCCACGGGTTAAGTGCAGGGAGAGGGGGAGAGAGAGGGAAAAAATCCAATCCAAATTCAAATTGCTTCATTAGAGAGACACCGCTTTTGTGGGGAAGGGCTTTAAATGCCCACTACAAAGTTAGGACTCATTGTTCCGCGCGGGTTTATATAACAGGCGCGGGGAGGCGCTGGGCTCAGGCTGCGCCGAGCCAGTTCTGCAGCCGCCGCCGTCTGCGTTCCGTTCCCTCCCCTCCCCCAGGTGATGGCCCAGCCAGGGTCCGGCTGCAAAGCGACCACCCGCTGCCTTGAAGGGACCGCGCCGCCCGCCATGGTGAGTTCGCTCGGCCCTGCCTTGCGCCCCTGGTCTCCTGGCGGCCCGGCCCTGGGGACCTGGCCCGGCTCTCTGGCCCCAAACCTACGTCCATGCGCTGGGGGGGCTCCCAGAGGGAGCCGCCCCTCTCTGAGTTTTGGGGTCTTCTGGCAGGGAATGTGGTCTTCGGCCGCTCCCAGCATCCAGGACGCTCAGGTGAAAAGTCGGAGCCGTCCCTTGCTCTCCAACGGGCCCTGTCATTCTAGTCCTCTCGCCCAGGGCGCGGCGTCTCGGGGGATTTCGTTGTCAACGGGTGCGCCGGGTTCGCAGATTTGCATCCGCTAGGCAGGCACCCGGCCCGGCGCCCACCGCAGCTCTGCTCTGCTCTTCTCTCCCCCGCGCGCGCCGCAGGCTCAGTCCGACGCCGAGGCCCTGGCAGGCGCTCTGGACAAGGACGAGGGTCGGGCCTCTCCGTGCACGCCTAGCACACCCTCGGTCTGCTCACCGCCCTCTGCTGCTTCCTCCGTGCCGTCGGCCGGCAAAAACATCTGCTCCAGCTGCGGCCTGGAGATCCTGGACCGGTATCTGCTCAAGGTGAGACAGGCCGGGGGTGGCGTGCGTGCTGGCGGGGTGTGGGGTGCAGCCCAGAGGTCTGCAGGGAGGCAACACCCGCGCCAGGTCCACGTATCCGAATGCTGGCTGAGCCCCCGCATGGGCGCGGGGCTTGAGCAAGTCTTAGCTTCTCTATGCGCCCCCCCACCCCGTTCCCGTCTGGAAAATGGCAAGAGTTTATTTGCTTCCACCCCCCTGAGCCTCAGTGTTACAGAAGAAAAGTAGGAAAGTCACACACACCTTCTGAGCGCCAGCGCCTCTGTCTGCAAATGGGGCCGGGAGGCTGGGGCCCCGCGCGAGGAGAGGCCGGCTCTGAAACGCGCCCCCCTCCGCCCCCTCCCCAGGTCAACAACCTCATCTGGCACGTGCGGTGCCTGGAGTGCTCCGTGTGCCGGACGTCGCTGAGGCAGCAGAACAGCTGCTACATCAAGAACAAGGAAATCTTCTGCAAGATGGACTACTTCAGGTAGGCTGCGGCGCCCGGCCCGCAGTGTCGCCGCAGGCAGGCCCTGGCGCGCGAGGAGGCGCCTTTCCGGCGCGTGGTCCCGGGCGCACCCCCGGCTCGGCTCTCCGCGCCACGGACGAGGAGCTCCAGGCCGCGCGCGGGGCCGGCGCAGGTCCCGGCCCGCGATCCGCCTCCGGTTCCTGCCACCCGGTCGCTTTCGGTCGCGTCTCCTGCTCCGTCTCGGGTCCTGCCCGAACCTCAGGTTCCGGTTCCGACCTCAAGCGCCTCGGCTGAGTTGGCAAACCGGGCCCTGGCCTCACCCCACTCGGATCCCAGCCGCGATTTGGCTGCATCTCCTGGGCGCTCAGGCCCTGGTGCCAGCCCTGCTCTGACCCCAGCCCTGACTCCGCGTCGTCTCTCCCAGGCCAGGCTGTGGGAGCTGCGCTCCAGGTTCTTGTCCCGGCTGGACCCAGACTTCATTCCCAGCTCGGGGCTCGTCTGTCCCCAAGCACTCACTTGGCATTGGCCTCAGAGCCAATCCCCTGTCTCACTCCATCTCTGGCTCAGTTCAGACACTGGTGTCGCTCGAGGGTCCTTGCGGTCTGGGGTCCTGTTCCGGCCCAGGCCCAGCCCCGTCGTCATTCTGGGCCCAGCTTCATCCTCTCTGAGTCTGGGCTCTCACTCCGGGCAGCTGAGGCAGGCACTGAGATGGGACAGGCAGGCAGGACCCTGAATGGCGCTACGGAGCGCCAGCGTGGGTCAGGCAGCTCTCTGCAGCAGGGCGGCCCTCCCTCCAGAGCGCCCGAGCTCCTAAGCACGTGGCTCCGGCCTGACTGGGTCACGGTGTGGAGGTCACTTCGAGGTCAGAGGCACAGTGGATGCCGCTTGATCCTGACCGGGCAAAGTTAGCCAGGGCTACCAAGTCTAAGGAGAATGGGGTGAGATGGGTTCCTGGGAGGGATGTCTGGTTCCCGAAGACTTTCTCAGGAAGTGGAGAAAGCACCTCTGCTCTGCCCCAGCCACAGACATCCTTTCCATCCGCGCCTGGGGCAAGGTCATGGCTTCATTTTCCTGGGAAGACCCTAGACTCAGAAAGATGCCCTGAGAGTCAGGAATGTGGTGGAAGGCCATGCCGGCCCCCCGCCCCTGGCACTGAGTCTCCCAGGACTAGGAATGAGAGGACACGTGTCTAGGGGGACGCCTGCAGCCTTAGGCTGGGGTCCTCAGGAGCCAGGGTGGGCAGGGTTGGAGAAGTGACTTCTGTTGTGCATGGTTGTGAAAAGGTCTACATGGGGGGGGGCGGTTACCTGGGGGCCTGGACTCAGCCTTCGAGGAGAGTGCGTGTTTCTGTGTTGTCTGGATCTGGGGGAATTCATCACCCAGCTGGGTCAGGGGTGTGCAGACAGCTGGTGTGCCCCTTAATGACAAGCTTTTGTCTCTTAGTTCATGTGGGAGCCTGTGTGTCTACATGTGAGTGTTGGGACTTTGTGTGTCCGTGCGCGCGCGCAAGGCGGTCAGGACAAGATTGTATCTGGACAGGGACCAGGAGGTGAGAGGCTAGGGAGTCTGAAATCCCATCATTCCCCCGCCCACCCTCTCCTCTCCTCTGAGGGGGCATTCCTGCTTAAGGCCTCAACCCAGGGTGGGATGTGAATGTGGATTTCTGGATGTGGACTGCTGGCGTGTGGATGTCAGAGGGGATTATCATTGTGTAACCAGCGTGTGACGTCTCCCGCCACTGTCTCCTCTGACTGTGGGAAGGAAATGGAGGATAGAGACCCTGTCTCACCACCTCCCTGTTCTAGGCCTGACTTCAGTTTTCAAAAACCAGCCAGCTGCTGATTAGGGGCTTCTTGGGCACATCAGCTAGCGGGACAGGGCTCCTGCCTGGACAAACCAGTAGGAAGGTATCTCCTGTAAGGCAGGGCTGCCCCCCCCCCTTGCTGGCAATCTTGGTGACAATGGACCTTACAAACCCATGAGCTACATGCTTCTCAAGCCCGGCAGGACCTGGACGCTGTGCTTTACTAGACCTGGAAGGATTAGGCAAAACTTGGGTTCTGACTCCACTGTTCAGAGTCTCCACTCTTCACTGCATTGGGTGGACAACTTTGTGGGCGAAAGTAGACCGGGCTCCGCTGGGCCAACACTGAATCACTGTGTGACCTTGGGCAAGTCACTGCATCTCTCTGCCCTCAGGGCAGCCAAGCGTTCAGTGGAGGAAGGAAGGCTCAGCAGAGGCTCCTGAAATAGCAGGGGACTGACCGGGCACCGCAGAGGGATGCCAGGCACGACCCCCGGATGGCATTTCCTCCAGCAGTTTCAAAAGGGTTGGGTGGGTTATTTCTGAGCTGCAGGTTCTTAGCACTACTCCTTTTCCAGTGACAAGAGCTCCCAAAGCAAAACTAAAAGAGGTTTTTTTTTTTTGGTGTAGGAAATGAGGGGAGTCAAAACACACATTCCCCTAGATGAGGGAAGGAATCCTGGCCCTTCTGAGCACCCTCCCTCGCCCCACCCAGGGCTCCCTGCAGGGAGCCCCACCTGTAACAAAAGTAATAAAACCCACAAAAAGGGAAAGAAAAAAACCAGTGAAGCCCAGATGGGGACAACTGTGTCCTCTGGGGGCTGCTGTCAGGGGCTCTCCTGGCGGTGTGGGAGGCCAGGGAGGAGCCAGCCACTGAGAGTCTCTAGGTCTCTGTCTCCTGCGGCCTGGGGTGGAGCCTCTGGTGGCGTAGGGACTGGCACTCTCTGCTGGAAGAGAAGTCAAGATCACCCGGTGGGAGGGGGTGGGAAGCAGTGAGCTAGCTCTCACGGAGGGGAGCCGGGTGCTGCCAGGGGGTGTCTGTGGGCCTCTGGTCTCAGGTCCAGGGAAGGGTTTCTCCTCCTCCTTCCTATGCCCCAGCTCTCCCCTCTGGGACACCATCCCATGGGGCTTCCTTCAGTGTCCCCTGGCAGTGTCCTCGGGAAGCCTGGGCAGGGAGCTCCCTGCAGCGAAGGTCCCATGCAGAGCCTGGGGACAGTCTAGAGGTCTAGCGCTGCCCCTGGCTCCTTGGCATCGTCGGAGGGGCTGGCCTTCCACCGGCTGTGTGCCCTTTGAAAGGCTGCTGGACCTCTCTGACTCAGTTTCTCCAACTCTCCCTCCAATTATGCGTTCCACCAAATTCCCAACTTCCCGCACTCTCTGAGTCCGAGCAGAAAAAAATTATCACCACCAGGGAAATATGAGGCTGCTTTTAACTCCCTCACTTTTCTGTTAAGACCACTTTTCTTTCCGTTTTCTTCCAAGAAGTGGAGAAAAGTCCTGGGGAGGGGTGTGGGGAGCGGCATTCCTTTTGGGGGCATATCTCCAGTTCAGGTCTCCACTGCCCTCAGCAACCACAACCACAGGCAATTTCCTCCCACCCACCAACCACCCCCGGGGGGCATGGGCTGGTCTGCAGGGCCTGCTGGCAACCTTGCTCTCCTGAAGCACCCTGTCCAGCACATAGTTGGGAAGGCTGTATCCCAGGAGAGGGGGAAGTGACAAGCCCAGGGCCAGATGGGGGAGGAAGGGAGGGGGGAGCGAGAGAGATAGAGAGAGAGACAGAGAGAGACAGAGAGAAAGACGGAGAGACAGAGAAAGAGACAGAGTTTGTTTGCAAGAGGGGCTGGCAAGGGTGAGGCCCCCTGTCAGCAGAACTGTGTTAACTCTTTCCTTGCTCCATTCATTTAATCCTCAGATCCACCCTGCACATGTACTACTTGCAGAACACCCACATTATAGAAGGGGAAACTGAGGATTATAGAAGGGGAAGCTTGCAGCCCGGGCCTGGCTCCTTGACAGTCAGATTGTCAGAGCCCCTCAGTGCAGGGTGGGGTCTGGAGCTGGCAAAAGCAGGCTCTGCTGGCCCCGGACTCCCTGCCCACACTGGTTGCCTTCACATAGGGAGCAGTACTGTGCGGGCCCTGGGAGTGCTAGGGCAGGGGTAACCTTCTCATAGGCCCAAGACTTGAGCCACTTTGCCAAGATCAGGCCACCTTGGCCCTTGGCCTTTTGACCAGGGGGGTGGGGAGTAAAGAGTTAACTACCTCTCCTCTTGATGGGGCTTGGGGTTCAGAGAGTGCCCAGGGCTGGGCCAAGGACCCCTGAGGTTTTTGTGCCCTGCTGGTTAAGGCAAACCTTCAGCTTTCTCTCCTCTACCCTTGAGCAAAAGCTCTGACCTAAGTGGGGAGAAACACCCCCCCCCCAAGAGTGAGAGTCCCAGGGGACCCTCAGAGCTAGGAAGCGGCCCCCCACCGCGGCAGAACGCGGCCCAGCAACCGCCAGCTGTTGGGGGACAGATGTTGGGGGAGCTGAGAGCGGGTTTCAGGGGGAGGGGCCTCGGGCAGGGACCTCCGAGGCAGGGCGTTTTAACCTCTTAATTGCTGGTTCTGTTTTTTTTCTGACTTCCCCTAAGGTTTTGCCTAGAGAGGAACAGCTGGCTGAGAAGGCTCCGCCTCCAATGCCCCCCGAGAGTGCCCTGAACTCAGAATCTAAGTGAGCTCTGGTTTGAGTTTCGGCACCGGCTCGCTGGTTCCCTAACTGCTGGCCTTCCCAGCCCCAACGTCCGCTTCCTCATACAGAAAGGGGGGCTGCATAACGGGGTAGGGATTATAATGAAACTCCGATGGGCTCTTCCGTTGCGATTCATTCTTCCAACGTGAGATGACTCCCCGGGATCCAGGGCTGGAGGCCAGGCAGGTGCGCCCACTGGTCCCGGGCGCGCGGCTCCTCCCGCACAGCCTGGGCGCGGGACACTCCTGCTCCTTTCCCGGGGAGGCAGCGCAAGGAGGTGTGCAGCGCCCAGCCCAGCCCCGCCGGTTCTTCTTGTCCAGAAGCAGGGGTCTCTGCCTCACACCTCTGCACCCCCAAAGCACCTTTGCCCCCAGAGTCCGAGGAGAGGAGCACCTAAGCTTGGGGTGGGGATTGTGACGCCCCCTAATCCCTTTGGCGCTGCCTTTGCAGCTCTCGAACTCCCCTTTCTGGAAGTTTCGTTGTTTTTGCTGCCGATTTCGTTGCTTCCGGAATCTGGAATCGGTGGCTCTGGCTTTGCAGCCCGCCTGGGAAGGATTGTTGGTTTATCGGAGCCTCGATCTATAAACCCCCTTGTGATCCTTGTTTGTGCCACTCACCCCTGGCTTGAGCAGGAGACAAGTTTCTGCTGCGGCCAAACTGCTTTCAAGGCTGCCTAATGATGCCCCTCCAGACCACCGTTCACCCAAAGATCAGCAAGAGGACGGTTTCCGTTGACTGGGTTGAGCTATGGCGAGCACAGGGAGATCCTAGGGCTGGGGACAAACCCTGGCATTTGGGGTGGCCTGCGGAGGGTATGAAGTTCCTGAGAGGTGACTGGTGGCGCCCTCCTCGGAGCGAGAGAATGGAGCACTGTGAGCGGCCAGCCTAGGCTCAGAAGAACGTAGCCGGGTGTCAGGGACTGGTGGGGTGAGATCAGGGGTGCATGGGAGTCTTGGGTGTCTCCCTGGCACACACACACAAAAAGGAATCCCGTAGAGCCAAGCACTTGAGGACTCAGGACCCGGACTACCCTCTGGTGCTGCACAGACCTTGCTGTGGAGACCACAGACCAGACCCGCAGCCCTGTCACATGGGTTGTTGAAGGCCAGGACCTTCCCCTCCCGGGCACTTGACTCCTTGATAACCACTTCCCACCTTTGGGAGAGTCTGGATCTCAGATCTGTGTGGGATTTTCCAGAACCCAGGGTCCCAAGTGTGAACGGGACTTGGTCAGACCAAGCTCCTTTCCTGTGCATGCAACCAGGACTCAGTTCTACTCATTTATGTGCGGCTGCTTCTGCAGGTTCTAGGTCTTTCTGTGCCTGGGAGGGGACCTCAACTCTGAACCCACCCTCTGTGTGGTCCTGTGCTCGTGACTTGCCCACTCTGAACCTCTGATTCCACTTGTGCAAAGTGGGTACACGAAGCCCAACATGAGGGGTGAAATGAAGGGGTTGCAGGTCACTGTACTAGGCGGTCACTTCTTCCTCCTGGAGGCCAGAAAGGACCCCCCAATCTGGATACTACTCTTGGGGTGGGGGGCAGAACCCAGGGTGCACCAGGGTTGGAGTGGGCTGGGGTGGCCAAAGTGATTTCCTGTCCCCTTTACTGAGGGATTGCAAACGCAAGCACTGACTATCTAAGACTCTTCCCTGAGGAAGCCAAGTATCCCAGGTCGGGAATGCTTCTGTTTAGGAGGGTGGTTGGCCTGGCTAAGACACACACCCTGACTGCCAGAGACAGGGTGCCCTTTAGCTCCTAGTCTAAGAGTGGCTGGCGGTACGTCTGGGAGCTGGGGCTGCTCAAGCAGCAGTTGCTTGCATTTCCCAAGGCAGGCGGGACTGTAACCAGCACGCTGGCCGGGAAGGTTCCTGCACACACTGACAGACAGTTCTGCAGGCTCCTGGGGTAGGGATGCAAGTGCGCTGGCCCTGGCCACACAGAGGCCAATCTTCTTGCTCCTCTCCCAGGAATCTGAGACGTGGAAGGGCGCACCAAGAAATCTGCCTTTACCAAACCAATGTGATCAATGCAGAGAGGGCGGTGCTGGGGGCCAGGGACACCAGGGAGGGCGCGTGGGAGTGGCAACCGCCAGTGCAAACGCCGTGAGTGGGAAAGTGCTGCGGGGGTGCAGGCACGAACAGCTGGGACTGACCTTCCCCTCTGGCTGACCAGGGGCTCTTGCTTGGGTAGGGGGTGGAGGAGCTTAAGGAAGGCTGGGAAGGAGATGCGTCTGAGAGGGTGTGTTCCGCTGGATTTTGTAAACTCCAAGGATCGTGGATCAGATCGTGGCAGTAGAATGGAGCCAGCACAGGATTTTAAGCGGGGGCAAGAGCAGGAGTCAATGTGCGTGCGGCAAACTCTGCCAGTGGTGCTGGTGGCAGAGCCGGTGGTGGGCACAGGGAGACCAGGGGGAGGCTGGCAGTGAGGGGTGAGGGGTGTGCGCTTGGAGCCTGGCCTGGAAGGGCAGCCTTGACCCTGGAGAGCAGGAGATGGACCCCCGGGAACTTAGGAAAGGGACACACAGCACCTGGTGAGTGCTTGGCTGTGGGACTAAGCGAGGAGGGGGCGGTGTGTATGATTTGGGTTCTAAGTTTGAGGCATTGCTTGAGGCATGGCCCCAGTCCCAGAAATAGGGTGTGCACCAGAGGAAACCGAGGCTCAGAGGATTGGGCTCAGGGTTCCCTCACTTAAAGAACACACCTTCGGTGCTCAGGGGTCAGGCTTGGGCTGACTTCTGGACAGGGGGAGGGCCTCTGGGGGTGGCACCCCAATAGCCGGGCCACTAAAAGGTAGGGAAGTGGGGAAGAGAGGAAAGATTAAGGGGAAGGGAGCAGTTGATAGGGGGTCCTTTAAAAAAAAAATCTTTTTAACATTTGCTGCTTGAATATCATGCGGCTCCAGAGTCTGGAACTAGCTGTGTGCTCTAAAGACTGCAAAGCACTAAACCCATCTGTGTAGTTATTGTTGTTGTTATCTCATTCTGCTGAAGGCAAGGGAAAGACTCAGAGTTAAACAATTTGCCAGAATCACAAAACTAGTAAGTGCATATCCGTGATTCCAAGAAATTCGGAGCCTCTTTTCGGCTGTGGTACAGTTTACCGGGCTCGGCAGTCAGACTGGCTCCGGTTTCTGTCCTTGCAAGCTGTGTGACGTTGTGCAAGTTACCTTACCTCTCTGGTCTCCATTTTCCTTATCTGCAAAATGGAGATTATTTGGGATAATCAACAAAAAACATTAGAATCTTGCCGGCCACATGATAAGTGCTAAACCATTTGTCTGTTATTGTTTTCCCCAACACATATTAATAAGCAGACCAATGTTACATATAAATATGAGCGATCGTTGCAGAAAAATTAGAAATCTCAGAAAAGCATCAAGAAGAAAATAAAAACCACTTGCCACCTCCCCTTCTAGGTGGGCACTTGATTGGGGGAGAGGGGTGTGAATCTGGGCAAAGGGAAATTAGAGAGAGAGAGAAAGCGCGAGCGAGCGAGCTTGGGGGTCCTGGCAGCCCACCGGGGCTTGGAGGCAGGGAGAAGGAGCTTATTTAAATTTGCCACCCTCTTCCCTGCCCACGCTCTCTAGCCGATTTGGGACCAAGTGCGCGCGCTGCGGCCGACAGATCTACGCCAGTGACTGGGTTCGGCGGGCGCGCGGCAATGCCTACCATCTGGCCTGCTTCGCCTGCTTCTCCTGCAAGCGCCAGCTGTCCACGGGCGAGGAGTTTGGCCTGGTGGAGGAGAAGGTGTTGTGCCGCATCCACTACGACACCATGATCGAGAACCTCAAGAGGGCCGCAGAGAACGGTACCAACCCTCCCAGCCCAGCACCCAGCCAGCACCCCTGCCCCCAGCCCTCTCCCAAGCGTCCCTGCCCCCAGCGCCTTATCACCTGGAGACAGTGTGGGAGTGGAGCCGCCGGCCGCCAGCAAGGAGCAAGCCCTTCTGGCTCTGCCTTTTGCTTGGGAAGTCACTGCTGGTCCCTGGAAACGATTTCCCCATCTGTAGAAAACGGGGCTAATAAGACCTCTCAAAGATAGACGAGCCCAGGTGTTGTAAATCCAGGACTAAGCTGCAGGGATGATTCAGTGGCCTACCCCTCCTGTTGGTCTGGGGGGCTCATCAGCCCCTGCTCCTTGGAATCAGGCTTGGGCCAGTCTTGGGGGGATGCTGTGACCCTGTTCTCCCAAATCCCACCCCAGCAGCTCCAAGCCAGAAGTATGGGGGTGGGGTGTCATCCTGGCCTTTGGGTCTGGAGACCCCAGCTATTTCGGCATGGCCAGCCTCTATGGCCTCAGTTTTTCCTCTATGGCCTCAGTTTCCCTATCTGTGCAAGATGGATGTTGGGTTAGGATGATCCTCAAAACTCCTCTTGTGATACCACAAGACATATGAGCCCAGGGTCCTGGTCTTCTAGGGAGTGTGAGGGCACACGTGGTTTGGGGGCTAGATGGGAAGAATGGAGGCTGGAATACAACCCAAGGCTGGGCCCCTTTCCGTAATTTTCTTGTCCAGGCCTGTGGAAGCTGCTACCTTTCTGTAACATGGATTGTTTTATGTGATCCTTACAACAACCCACTGGGGTAGATGGTGTCTCCCCATGTTAGAGATGAGGCAGAGGTCATCTTCAGTATGTGACTTGCCAAAGGTTAGACTAGTCGGTCTGGACTGCCTGACTCCAGAGCCCAGGCTCATAGCCACCATGCCCTACCACCCTATTGCCAAGCTCCAGAGTATTTAAATCAGAGCTCCCTGAGCGGGAAGCTGCTGGGATGTAGCTGTCTTTTTGAGTTTCATTTTCCCGTTGAAGAAAACAGGCACTCCAGTCCTTGTCCTCTCTGTTCTTCTAGAGCCACTAACACCATAAAGTGCCAGCCCCACCCCTGGGGCCCCAAGACCCCAAGGGTGTACCTAGGTAGGGAGCAAGTGAAGCAGGGGTGCTGTGGAGATTTCTGCAGTGGGGGCAAGCCAGTAGTGGCACTTGGGATGGAGACCCAGGAGGCAGGGCTCCCCACACCTTGGGGGGTCAGTGAACCCAGGCTCCTTCTCAGTTGGATCAACCAGGACCACCCAATAGCTTTCGCAGTGACACCCAACCCCAGATTCCTACCATGTACAGAACTTGATGGCTCAGCCTCTGATCTCCGTTACAGATCAGCCCTCAGTTTTGATCACGTTTATACTTTTGAAACTTAAACACACACGTTTATCACAGGAAAATGAGACACGGTAATTAAGAAAAAGAAAGAAAGAAAATAGAAGAAAATAAAGGTCACTCCAAATGCCACCACCTCTCTATATTTTGGTGTATATGTATAGTGTAGATGTGTTGGGTTGTTTGTTTTTTTCCTATTTAAAAATAACAATAAATGGTGAGCAGTGGTGGAGTACTGGTGATTTTTAGTTTCTTCATTGTGCTCATCTGAATTTTCTGAGCTTTTGCGAAGAAGCAGGTATTACTTTTGTATTCTGAAAAAATGAGATCTTAAAAAACTAAAATGGAAATGGAATTGTATGTTGGCAAAAGAAATAGAAATGGAAACTAACTATCCAACAGTTAACAAAATTAAACCTGAGAGAAATAAAGGGACTTAGGATTATTGTAAAAAATCTCAAAAGTTAGAGAAATATTGAAGATACAGCCTCCAGCATCCTATCCCTCCCGGGTAACCCTAGCTGACAACCTTAATGCAGATCCTTCCAGACTTGTCCGTTCCACCCCTTTACAACGTTGGGCTCCGGGTTCTGGAAACTGCTGGCTTCTCAGCGACGCCAGCCTTTGCTCCCCGAGATTTAGCTGTCAGCAGCGGGGAGCCCTGTTGGGAGCCCTGGCCTTGGTCAGCGTGAGGTCGAGGTGCCCTGGAGTTCTCTGAACTTCTCTTTCCCCTGCCACGAAGCGAGGATAATGTCCTCCGTCCTCGGGGATGTGAGTACAGGGAGAAGTCCGCCTCTGAGCAGACTCTCAGAAACAAAAGCCCCTCCCCAAAGACCGAGCTCGGGACTAGGACCGGGGGATCCCCGCTTCCAGCCAACTGCGCTCCTGACCCTTCCAGGGACCAGCTCCCCCCACCCCCGGCCTTTCCAGGCAGCCACTAGAAGAGATGGGGACGCGTGGTCAGCCGCTTCTGTCGCCCCCAGGGAACGGCCTCACGCTGGAGGGGGCGGTGCCCTCGGAGCAGGACAGCCAGCCCAAGCCCGCCAAGCGCGCGCGGACGTCCTTCACCGCCGAGCAGCTGCAGGTACCGGGCGGGCGGCGCGGGGCCGGGCGGGGGCGGGGCCTCTGGTGGGCGGGGCTCGGGCCCTCTTGGCCCCGCCCCTCCGCCGGTCCCGCGGGAGGAGGGGCGGGGCTGCAGCCGTGTGGGCGTGGCCTCCGCGCCGGCGCGTCTGATTGGGCCCGGGTCCCGGCGACCCCGGCGCGGGGCCTCACGCCCCTCCCGGCGCGGGCAGGTGATGCAGGCGCAGTTCGCGCAGGACAACAACCCCGACGCGCAGACCCTGCAGAAGCTCGCGGACATGACGGGCCTCAGCCGGAGAGTCATCCAGGTGCGACGGGCGGGCCGCGGGGGGCGGGGCCGCGGGGCGGGGCGGGGCCTCGAGGGGGCGGCGCCCGGGGCCGGCCCACGTGGCCGCGGCTGCCTGGCTGCGACGCGGCGGCGGCTCCTCCTGAGTCCGGCCCCCGCGGCGCGTCCACCCGCCCCGCGCGGCTGAGCTCCGAGGCTGTCGTTCCAGGTGTGGTTTCAAAACTGCCGGGCGCGCCATAAAAAGCACACGCCGCAGCACCCCGTGCCGCCCTCCGGGGCGCCGCCGTCCCGCCTGCCCTCAGCCCTCTCCGACGACATCCACTACTCCCCGTTCAGCAGCCCCGAGCGGGCGCGCATGGTCACCCTGCACGGCTACATCGAGAGTAAGTGACCGCGAGGACCCCCGGCCCCCCGGACCTGGGGGGCAGGGGTGGGCGGCGGGCTGGGGAGGAGGGCGTGGACGCTCCTTGTCCCTCGAACCACGGTCCCTTGGCGCAGGCCAGCTGCAGGGCCCGTCCAGACGTGCTTTCCAGGCACCCACCTCCGCCCCGGCCGGGGACTAGGGAGACAGCAAGATGGACACGGTCTTGTCCTGGTAGAGCCCGCGTCCCGGTGGGGGAGGCGACAGGCTGAGACCCAAGGATGGGGAGCAGGTGCTGAGCTGTAGGAGTAGGGACAGTGACATGAGAATGGCAGGCGGCGCTGGCCGCACATGTGGGCAGGCCTTGGCGGGAGAAGCCTCCTGGTGAGGATGGATTAGTTACACAGGTCAGGGTGGCCGTGTAGCCAGGGCTGAAAGGCCCTGGGCAAACCACCTGATCTACTTGAACTTCAGTTTCCTGATCTGTAAACTGGGATGTTCGTAGTGCCTAGCTCCCAGGGTTGGCGATTCCATGCATGTATTTGGTAAATACGTTCTGCGTGGCCTGTGTCCTAAGCACTCAGATGTGACAGAGAAGACAGTAGACCAAGCGTGTGTGCTCCACGGGCCACAGTCCAGGAGATGGGTGGGGAGACAATAAACTGATCAAGGAGGGAGGCTGGCATGTCAGTGGGCACCCAGCACCATGGGGGTGTGTGGAATGTGGGTCTTGCTGGTGTGACCTTTGAGCAGGAACCTGGAGGAGAGAGGAAGTGGATTTGTGCATTTCTGGGGGATGAGCATTCAGTGACTCTGCTATTGAGCAGGTGCTTGTCACAGATTTTTCCCTCTTTGAGTTGATTTTCCCCTTTGATTGTTTCCTCAAGACTGGGCGTGACTAGGAAAGTAGAATTGGCCACTCCTTACTCACAAACTCAAATCCTTCCTTCTCCCGCTCCAAGTAAAAGGGAGAGAAGGGAGGTCAGAGAGAGCTGTGGCTTACTGAGCTCCTGCTGGGTGTCATCGTGCAAATTGTGTTTCTAAACACCAGAGGCCACCGTGCCGTGGAGCACAGTAAGTGAGCGTGAGCAGCATTCCTTAATGATCAAGACCGTCAGTCTTTAAGCCCCATTTCTGCCACTCACTGGCGGTGTGATGTTGGACTAGCTTCCTCCTCTGTGAAAGGAAGACCATCCGAATACCTATCTCAGGGCAGTGTTGCGAGTGTCAGGGGAGGTCATTGGCTTCGAGTCTCCAGCGTTTGGTCAGTTCTGGGTCGGTCGTAGCTGCTGTGTGTGGTGGGGCTGGTGCTGTTTGCCTGTGCTGGGACAGCAGAGTCCTGCCTCGCTGCCAGTTGGAGGCCACGTCTCTGTACTATTCTGTTTCTGAGCTATCTGCTCAGTAGGAGGGACTTTTTCTCCCTTTCCTCACTGAACAGTGGCTTGTGTTCAGGCTGCAAAGAGCCCATTAAACATCTAGTTTATCTGCTAGAGGCTACAGGGGCCAGGCCTCTCTTGGTAGCAGGGGTCTGGAAACCAGCTCGCACTTGCTGTGAAGTTGGGCTGGATCTGGCTGAGCCCAGTGGGAGGGAGGCCATGGTCTCCAGGGTCATGCCAGGACTCTGCCTACATACTAGGTTGACCACGCCCAGGTCTATCTTTGACGGCTAGACTAGCGACTGAGGGGCCCTTTGCTCTTCCCCCTTGAGGTGGACCAGCTTGGGGCAGGAGAGCAATTGGACCTGTCATATCCTGCTGAGACTGAGGTCGTCTGAGGGTTAGGATTTGCAGTAAAGTGACGGGGTCTTGCTTTTTTCGAAGCCTTTGAGCTGGGAAGTTGGTGAAAATTTTAGAACCAGAAAGAAATTTTTTTTGCTTCGCTGTTTACTTATGTCACTGGATCCTGAGTTGTCTGGAACCTTAGAGTTTGGATTTTGATAAGGAACTTTTGGAACCAGACCCCAGGAAAATGCACAGACACACATAGCTTTCTGTGTAATCTTAGGCCGTTCCTGAACCCCGGGAGGCACCCCAGGTGAAGAACCCCCAATGGATCTGATGGCAGATTACTGGGGCTTTGGTGGTGGGTGTGGTGAAATAACATGCAATTGTTGAGGGTAAACCTATAGCCCTGAGCCGTACACCGTGGTGTAATTCAACATTAGAGCAATAAATATAATAAAAATCAACCAAAGTAAGTGTAAATGGGTTAATAAAAAATTGTCATCTAATAAAAAAACTCATACAGCTGCTATTATTCTGCAAATGAAGGGGCTGTAACTCAGAACGACACTTGTCCAAGTTATGTATCAATTATAAGCCCCTCTGTCACCAGAGAGAGGAAGTGTAGGGGGGAGAGAAGGGCCGTGGGCTTTTCCACGACAGTGGTAAAGAGGCTGCAACATGAGAGATTTGGGTCAGACACAAAGGGGACCTTGTCCAGCAGTTTTAGATGTTGGGAAAGGATAGGAGATTTGTCGAACAGGCCCAGAGCACACCTGCTCGATGCCATGCCTCATTCTAGCCACTGGAAAGCCCCACAGATCTCCAGTCTAGAAAACAGAAAAATCCCTGCTCTCCCGGGATCTTGCCTTCTCGTTGGCAAAGACAGGCAATCTCAGTAAGCCATAAAAATACACCCTGAGCCAGGTGATGGGAAGTGCCAAGGAGGGAAAATGAAGCTGGGTGGCAGGCCGGGGAGGGCGGGCTGGCTGCTGGTGTGGTTGCCGTGTACTCGGCACGGGCAGGGCGAGCGACCCAAGCATGCTGGCGCCCAGTGCAGAGCCCTCGAAGGCGTGGGCATAAAGCCTCGGTGAGACCCGGGAGCCAAGGTGAAGGGGGCTAAAGCCTTGCTTGTAGGAGATGGGCAGCCCGGATGCGTTTATGAGGGTTTGTTTATCAGAGAGCTGGGCAGTGTCAGAACTCTGCGAAGACTGGCAGCAACACCATCGCCAGCCCTGTGGAAGTTCTGTCCGGGGCCACCCCTCTGGTCGGTGGCAGAGGTGGTCGCAGGGTTTCACGGGGCAGGTGGGGTCCTGGTGAGACCGAGGCGTGGGCTCCAAGGCATCCTCTCGTCCGCAGGTCAGGTACAGTGCGGGCAGGTGCACTGCCGGCTGCCTTACACCGCGCCCCCCGTCCACCTCAAAGCCGACATGGATGGGCCGCTCTCCAATCGGGGCGAGAAGGTAAACGCAGCCAGGAGGGCTGTGGGCGGGTCGGGGCCATTGTGCCGGGCGTGGGTGCTGGTGCTCCTCATCACGAGCAGCGCCAGGCCCCGTCGGAGCAGAGCCCCTCTGCCCAGCACACTCGAGCCCCACTGCACTCCTGGGCAGTCTCTCCGGCGGCCCCACATTCTGCTGCGGGGTCATGCCAAAGGCCTCTTTGCAGCCCCAATAGGGGGTGGTGGTGGTCTCTTGCTCAGATTGGTGAATCGAGTTATTTTGTGCCCATCGTGTGCTTCCTCGGCCCCCTCGCTCTCACGCCTTTCCATTTCTGTCTGTTGGAAGCGAGTCTGCAGCTGGGGGCGGGGGCAGGTAGCAGGTCACAGATGACCTTGGTCTGCTTTGTGAGTCCTGGCCTCCGGCTGTCTAAAGCATTAGGACCGAACGTCCAGAAGGGGCCTCGGCCTCACCCCTCCAGGCTGGGAAGCTGTTTCCCGGCTCTGGGACCCTCTCCTCAGTCTTTCTACAACTCATAACGCGGTTGAAAGAGGATGCAGTGGCTGCGGGGTGGGGGGGGCTGCAGGGGAGTAGCCCCCACCTCCCTCTCAGCTCCAAGCCACCTCTTCATTAACCTTGAAAGCCAGGCCTCTAAGACAGCCTCTCATTTTAGAAATAGGGAAACTGAGGTCCAGGTAGCGCCAGGGCACATGGGCTGAAGGAGCAGCTGTGCATCTATTCATTCACTTAATCCTTTATCAGCCCACATCTGCTGTTCCGACTCACGTGTCCGCAGCCCCGAGTCAGTTTCCAGGAGCACAGAGATGAGGACAGCTTGGTCCGTGCCCGTGAGGAGAGTCCAGGGGGACGGCACAGGCCGCCGTGGCTCTCCAGGATCCTGGGCCATTTAACATGACAGGCACACACACAGGCTTGGGGGCAAAAGCAGTGAGAGATGGGCTCGGGCTGCCAGGTAGAGGAGTCCCGACTTTGTCCCGGGGTCTGGAGAGCTCCTTCAGAGGCATCACTGTAGAGAGGTCCTCAGGTAGGCCCAGCAGGGGTGTGGGCCATGAAGAGAAGGCCAGGGCCTTGGGGCTGGACGCGTCCTCGGGTGCCATCCAGTCTGGTAGAGCGGGGTCTTGGTATACTTCAGAATCACAGGGTGGGCGGGGGGCGTGTGAAGATCCAGAGCCTCTCCTTCAAGAGCTGGCAGGAGGCCAGGGGTGGGGCCTGGTTCCTGGGAGAGTATTGCCCTGTCCGTGGGATTCTGGTGGGCAGCAAGGGGCAGGGGCCACTCCTCCCAGACAGCCCCTCTTACTTCACTTCCTGTTGCGCACCTACTGTGTGCTGGGCTCAGTGGGAAAGCCTATCATGCAGGGGTGCTGGCCCTAGTGGAACAGATGCGTTTGTGAGTAAATGATAGCACTCAACGCAGCGTCCTGTGGAACCCCGGGATGGGCGAGCGCGCCTGGGACACATGCAGCCTCGCAGTGAGAGCAGGTGTGGGTTGAGCAACTGCCCTGTTCATAGCAGGTGCTTTACGCACCCTGTCTGACACCTTCCAAACCCTGCATGGGCGTAAGGATCGCTTCCTTATGGGAAAGACAAGGAAGCTAGCTGAGGCTCAGAAGGACATGACTTGTCCGGGGCGGCAGCAAATCTGCTGGATGCTGAAGCCTGCACAGTTCAGTACTCCCTTCATTCTGTGCAGCACTTTATAGTTCCCATGGTGCCCTCTCTGGCCTCCCCCTCACACCTTCCCTGGGAGGAGGACTGTGCGTGACTCTGCCTCACACCTGCAGAAGCCGAGGCTCAGACCGAGCAGTGAGGCCAGGGCTCTCACCATAGGCATGGGTGGGTCCAGCCGAGGGTTGCCCCTGGCCCAGGGGCTGCATGGCAGTTGGCACGGTCCTGCCCTCAAGGACCATGTAGCTGAGAACAGTAGGCGAGCGGCCACCCCCGAGGGTGACAGGACCGCTGCAGGGAGGGCTGCAGCCTTGAGCACCTGGAAAAGCGAGTGATGAGCTCTAGGGGAGAAGCAGGGGACGAGAAGGGATTCCACATGGAGAGAAGAACATGTTTGGAGGCGAGGGGAGAGCTGGGGGGAGCTGGGGGCAAGGACCTTAGAGTGTTTCATGTGGCCGAGTCCCAGCACATGGGTGATGCTGACAGATGTCAAATAAGCATGGGCTGGGACCACTGAACCCCGCGGGGCCGTGGGCTTTATCTGGAGGGCAGAAGGGAGCCTGGGGCCTTGCGAGGGCTGGGCGCAGCCCCTGGAGATGAGCCCTTGTCTCCCAGATGCTCAGCTAAGCTTGCAGTTGTGTCTGGCTCAGCGAGAAGGGTGAGCCGGCCAGGCCAGGCAGTGTTGGTATGGAAGACTTCTGGCCCTGCCTTTTGCTACTGAGCCAGAATTCTCTCTTGTTGGGCCATGTCTCTAAGTTCACATCCAGCAGCTCCGCAGAAGTCTCTCTCCCTCCTTCAGGACCTTCCTCCTTCCCACTGCCACTGCCAGGGCTTCCTGCCAGCTCTAAGGGGACCTTTTCTGTCCACAACTGGCCAAGTCCCTGGGGCCCAGTGGGCTGTCTGTGGTCAGCGCAGGCCTGTATGGGCATTCTCCCCGTTCCTCCAAGCCTGAGCCAGCCTAGCTATGGGGAGCCTCGTGCTCTGGGGTGGGCCCTGAGCCCCCTCATCAAGATCAGCCTGGCCTGGCCAAGAGAACGGCTCTTAGCATTCGGGGCAGCACCCTCGCCTTCCACCCCATCATAGTTTGGCCACATGCGCCTGTAGTCTCCAGAACCACATTTCTTCCTGTCCTTGTCTCCTAACCCCATGCTTTCAGAGCTTGGAAGGCAGAAATCAGGGCCAGGTGCTCACTGATGAGAAGGAGCGACTGAAGCCCTTCCCTCTTGAGAGTGTTATTCTTAAGAGCCCAAAGCTGGGCATCCCTGGGTCTGGGAGAACATGCCTGAAGAAGGGAGAGGCCAGGCTGTGGGCACTCTGGAGTCAGGCCAACTCTGAGTCCCAGCTCTGCCCCTGCTCACGGTGAGTCCTGGGAACACAATTAGCTTCTCTGAGCTCAGCACTTGCATCAGCAAAATGGGCATCATGATAGTTCCCACCACTGAGAGTAAATGCAGTAACATCTGCAAGTTGCCCAGCTCAGGGCCTGGTCGCAGAAGGTGCCCATGCGGGCTGGTTATTCTTATTACCGTCACAGAGATAGTCGTCGCGGCTTTCCTCACGGGCTCCAATCTGGGCAAGGGACATTCTGATCTGGAAACAGAACAGCCATAGGGCTGTACCCACTTGATGTCCCGGCACCCCGTGAAAAGGCACATCTCATTGACTAGACAGCCGGTCAGCCTTGACCTGGGCCTCAGGGGACTGGCATGGCGGCTGCAATGAGAGATCAGCTGGGCATGCTGGTTGGAAGGGGAGAGGGGAAGGGGCAGACAGTCTGATGGTTCATGGTGTGTCAGACCTGACACACACCTGCCTGGGCTTTGTGAAGACTTGGGGCAGTTGAAGTTCCGGGCCCGTGGCCTGGTGTCTAGGCCCCCAGGGCACTGCTGTCGTGGTGGCCCTGGACTGTGGAGGCGTTGCGATAATGACACCTGGCTCTGCAGCCAGGCCTGGGTCCAGCAGGCCTGGTGTAGACCCTCTGAGACTCCGAACCTGCACAGTGGACGCCTCCTGCGTGGCATGACTGGAGGCTCTGTGGCCAGGGCCAGCATCTCACTCAGCCTCCCCATTTTTAGGAAGAGGTTTCATCGCCCCTTTTTTTTCAGCTGAGGAAACGGGCTCTAGGGATGAAGTTGCCTGTGGCACATAGGTGGCAGAGCTGGGATTTGAACTCAGGTCTGGACCCTGAGCCACCCTCGTTTTCCATGGCTTTGAGGACTTTGAGGGGCTGCCTGATGGGGCAGCACCCCAGCTCAGTCACCTCCCCGCCCTCCTGTTGCAGGTCATCCTTTTTCAGTACTAACGCTGCCGGCTCTTCCGCATCCGCCCGCGGGCGCCCCACAGCTGCCCCTCAGCCGCTGAAATCCAGTGTCTGAGCCGCCTCCAGGGATCCACCCGCTCCACCTTCGCCCCTCGTCCGCCATCCTGCCCGAAGCCAGCCGGGCCCCCGTGCCTGGCCTTCCCCTCTTCTGCTGAGACTCAAACCCGCCAGGAGCACCACAGAGAGTCCCCCTCTCGGAAGGCAGACTCCCCGAAGCTGGGAATCAGAGTGAAAACAACGGCCTGAATTTTCCACTTAGACGGAGTCATCTTCAACTTCAGCTGATTCCAATAGCAAAAGGCCGAGCTGAATTGTGCGATGCCAACAGCCTTCACATTTACAGGTTTTCTTTCTGCCCACATTGGCCTTTATTTACTACTTCCTTGGAACCATCTCTGAATTCTGAATAGCCGGCAACCCCCCCAATGTTATCCACTCTGTTGCTTTTGTCTGGAAAACTCTACAGTGTTTGTGGGATGTCCCCAAAGGAGAGCTATGTTCTAATTTTATCATTTCCATCTGTCTGGTTATGTCAAGTTAATTCAGAGAGAGAAGAGACACTGACCAACCCTGAGGGGCCCAATAGGGCAGAAATGGAGGCCTGCCCAGACCAAGAGGTGGGGGCATAGGTGGGGCCTGGAAGTGGGGTGGGGACAAAGGCCCCCCCTTTGGTTTAGAGATCAAGAAGGACAGGGCTCATTGGACTGGGAAAGACACTAGCCATTTTAGGGAGAGGAAAGAGAAAATCAGGATGGGGAGGGGAGGCCCTAGTCCCACCTGCCATCCAGCATCTACTATGTGGAGACATAGCAGAGATGGTGTTGGACAAGGTGATGACGTTTTTGGACGTCTGGGCTGGTTAGGATCAGGGACCGTTTTGGGCTACTTGTTGACTCCTGATAGTGGTGCTTAGGCGAGGTCTTCTTGGGGGGGACTACTCTTGGGGAGCTGGGAATGGAGCCCTGGGAAATGTCAGTGAGAATGTTCATTCTGGACCCCTCGCTGAGTGGAGAGAGGGTGTCTGCTGCCTAGTGAGTGTGCAGGTCTCCAGCGCCGCACTGGGCTTCCCACCAAACCTGCCCCAGCTGGCCCCACCCCCTCCCAAGAACAGCGGCCAAACAGCTGTGTTCACATCCACACTAGCCTGCTGCAACTCCTCCATCCCAAACAAAAGGGCTTGGGCTACACAAGACCATGATTTATGTTTTCAGGGGATGCCCCGTTGTCCTAAGCTTATCTTGTCACTTTAGAAAAACTTGATGTCCTGATGCATTTCCCACTAGGGGCTGCTAGAAAGCGCTTTAGCCCAAATCCTCCTTCCTGCTTTGGTTAACCCGATCTGTTGCTTCTGGAAGGAGACTCTAGGACTGGGAAAGCAAGTTCATGGTACATATGTATCGGCTGTCCCTCTTTTGCCCATGGCAGACATCACAAATCAAATGCAGCACTCTTTCTCTCTGAGTCTGGATAAAGTTTCAGAATTCAAATGCTTGCAGCGGGCACTTAAAAGGAAAACCTGTGCGCCATCTTTGCTCTGGGACCCAGAGGAGGGCTAGACCTGGGCGCAGCCCAAGAAGGGAACCTGCTTACTATCCCTCCCGAAGATGGCTCTAGCTGGCTCCGGGCAAAGAGAAGGCTCTACTCAGCATGTGGTCAGTACCGCTCAGTTCAGAACTCATCCAGTGAATAAGGTCACCCGGCCCGGCACTGGGTGCTGATGTTAACAGGAGCCACTTGGCCTGATCCCTGGCTTTGGGAAGCTCTAATCTCTCCTTTGATTTTTGCTCCCGATGATCCAATGTGCAACCATGTGGTAAGTGAGCAGCCGAGCCCTGCCCGGGGTCACCCAGTGCCCACTCTGCCTTGAGCCTCCCCCCAGGGTCTGTTCCTCACGTGGATCACATGGTCGTAGCATGTTGCAGTTCAGACATGTCTCCACTAGCCTGTTAGAGCAGCCTGGGAACGCACAGGCCATCAAGACTATTTATTTAAATACAAAACAAAAGGGGGAACACACACACGGAAAAAAAATTGTAAGCACTTTTTTGTAAAACCAATGTCTGTTTTGTTACATACCTTTCATGTTGTGCTTTGTAAATGTCTTATTTGTGTAATAAATAAAGTTAATGCAAGTAGAAGTGCTGGCACTTACATCCAGAACATGCTGGAATTTCATTTCTTTCCTGCACCCTGGCTAAGAACTCAGGCCCCTGGCGTCTGGAATATGTGGGCTGCTGGACAGTGCAGTGCTTGTTGGTCAGTGAACTGAGTGTCACAAATTTCGTCTAGGCTGCGTGGGGCCGCCCTCTCGGAGCGCGCACTCCCTGCTGGGTCCCGGGCTGGCTCTTGGCCAGCGAGAAGGCCCAGCGGGTCTGCCCGAGATCACACCACAGAGGGACCCTTCTAATGTGCTGAGAGGCAGGCATGGGGCAGGGTGGGGGCACTGGAGTTGGATCCTGGCAGATGAGTTCACCGAAGGGGCGCAAAAGAGGTGGTGCTGGAGGGTCAGGGAGGAGGCACAGAGGAGCTTGTTTGGGAGACGGGGGAGATCTGATCCTGTGAAGAGAAAGGAATGTGTGGGACAGGAAACAGGGCTGCAGCCACAGCCAAGTCTGGGTCTTACGCTGGCCTTGCTGGGTGCCAGAGCCGCCACATCACCTCGGGGGAGAGTGCATCACTGTGCTGGTGGGCGAACTTAGTGGCAGGACAGTTTGTTCAAACCAAAGCTGGAGGGAGAGTAGGGGAGCGGCTCTGTCAGATGCAGAGGCCCCTCCAGCTGCCCCCTTGTCTCCCCACCGCACCCCCTGGCCCTGCAGAGTTGCTCGGAACTTCAGCTCAGGGTGTATGTGGTCAATGCCCCTGCAGGTCCCTTCTTAGTAGTTTTTTTCCTGTCCCACTCGACCCCCTGTCTGTGCCCTCCTGCTCTTCTAATCCACTTATTACATGTTGATTCAGCTATATGTGTATCTTTGAAAAAAGTCTCAGCTGCGGGTATGTGTGTGCATTTCTTTACATGAATATACTTTCTGTTTTCAGAACAGTTTGGAAACCCTTGATGGAGCTCAACTCTATCTTTCTCCCAAAGTGACTTTGCTTGGAAGGGAGAGGTGACCCCCAAGATCCCTCCATGGCACAGACGAATGGGTCCCAGTCTCCCTTTGACTGGTTCTGTCCCCGCATGCCACCCATGGGTCCTTAGGTCTGCCCCTGCAGACCTTGGGCGGGCCCTCCCAGGCCTGCCTCCCTCTGCGGCAGCTCTTGTGAACCAAGGGCCTAAGTACAGGGCGGTGGGGGTGGGGTCTGCAGGACTCAGCAGCCTCTTAGGAGGAACAGTGATGCAAAGATCTAGGCTGCTCGCAGCCCAAGTGTGGCCCTGAAACAGTTACTCTTCTGGTTTTCAGCTGACACCAGTGAGCTCTGGCAGCAGTTTTGAGGAACAATTATTCTGCAGGCACAGTTAAAGTATTCTTTAAAGCGAGCACAGAGTAACCTGCTAAGTGCGTGCTCCTTGTACCGTCTACCTCATTCAACCCTCACAGCTCCCCTATGCTTTGAAGCATCATTATATCCTTTTTACACACGAGGACACTGAAGCTCAGAGAAGTGACTCATCCAAGGTCACATGATACTGTGGTCAAGCTGGTATTTGAGCACAGCTGTATATGATGCCAGAACCTGCTCTTTCTGTGGCACCACCCTGACTGTGCATGGGGGTAAGCTCAAACGGGGGAGCTGCCAGGGGAGAGGGTTCTTAGGTAGTCAGCTCCGTCCTACAGCTGTGAGTCTGGGCACGGCCACCCCATCCTACTGCCCTGCGAGCCCAAGACTGGCGAGGCAGGAACTTGATATAGGTCAAACAAACAAACGAACAAACGCATAGCTGGACTTTGTCCTCAGAAGGACTTGGATTCAAATGCTGCGTGACCTAGGGCCAGCCACTCAACCTCTCTGAATCCCACATTCTTCCACCGAGGATGGGGACAAGGCAATGCTTAGCCCTCCCTTTCAAGCCACGGGGAGGAACAGAGAAACGCACTCTGCACGTGTTAGTTGCTCATTTAGTTACAGAGATCGGTCATCATGAGGTGGTGATTCTCAAACTGCCAGATACTTAAACACTCAGGCGTGGAAAGCTTGCGAGATGCCATTCCCAGAGATTCTATGAGCAGTTCTAGGGCTCCAGGAATGTCTAGTTTATAGTTTTCCCAGGTGATTCAGATGCAAGGGAAATAAAAATACTGCTCCAAGAAATTATTCAGGAAAAGTACACTTGGGGGCAACTCGCCGCAGAAAACCTTTATTCCTGAGTCACAGTCAGGTTCTAGAACTCCATCCTCTGCCAGGCCGGCCGGGGCCCAGCGATGCAGAAGGAAACCTCTGGCAGAGACAGCAGAGCTTACAGCTGGGTCCTGTGGCCCACAATCTCGTCCCAGCCCTTCCGGCATGTCCGGACGATCCACTCGTGCTCATCGTCATCTGCAAGGGAAGAGGAGGGGGCAGGTCATACATGGTGCTCATGGGGCTTTCCCTGCCCTGGGAGACCCCCAGGTGGGGGTCTCAGAACTGGGGTCCACTCTAGGACAGGGGTAGGGTGGCCTTTGTGGCCAGTCTCTTTAGCTCTGTGTTAGGTGGTCAGACCTGTGTATGAAAACCAAATCCTTCAGTTGCCCGTGGAGGCCAGGTCTGGGGGAAATTGGACACAAAAGGGCTTGCAGTGTGTGGAGGCCGCTGATGGACGCTGTTCAGCCCACCATCTGCTCTGTGCCAGGCCCCTCGGCGGACTGACGTTATTTTTATTTTTTCCCTTTATCCCCCCAACCTACACTCAGTTCCCCCCACCCTCCCCACCATGACAGGGGCCCATTCTAATGATACGATACATACCCCTAAAAATGCAGCTCTGTAAAACATGTATTGTTGTTTTGTGTGCAAATGTGGTTTCAATTTACATAGATGGCATTGTGCTGTGAGTTTCATTGTGTCTTACTCTTTTCACTCAACACTAGACGCTACATTTTCAAGATCTATTCTTGCTGCGACATGTACATCTAGTTCTTTGCTTCTAGCTGCTGCCTAATATTCCACGGTGGGCTTCTGGCATGTTTTCTGTCCACCCTCCCAGTGGTGGACACACAGGTTGCCTTTACCTCCCAGTTTCCAGGAAAAAACTCTGGGCAGACCTTCCTGGATTTCTGGAAGGCCTCCTCGGGCTATATTCCAGGGCGCGGCGGGTGGGTCGGGGGGCACAGAGTCATAAGCACACTGGCCCACTGGGACTCCCACTCTGTGTCTGTGCAGGGGGCCCGAAGAGAACTAGTCCTGACCCCTGCCCCAAACAGTGGTCCTCGGGGGTGGAGGTGCACTTGCCTCCTCTCCTTACCCTGCGCCCAGTGCCTCCCGCAGAACAGATGAGGATGGATTACCCATTTTTCTGGGGAGAAGCTGGTGAGCAAGGGGACTCCCCAAGAGCAGGAAGCTGGACAGTCAGCAGGATCAGATTCCCCTGGCCCGGAACTGCTCCCCTTCTGCACCAAGTCCAGCATCTGGGAGGAGGCTTTTCAACAACCTACTGTGTGCTTCTGCTTTACAAACACCAGCCCTCATTCAGTCTCTGTAAAAACCCAACAGGGTCAGGGAGATCGCCTCCATTTGCAGAGGGGACAAGCTCTGTCCCCCTGTCCACACCAGTGGGATTCACACCAAGGACCATCAGGCTGGGAAATCTTCCCACCCGTGGGCTGACTCTATGGGGACAGAAGGAGCGGCTGTACCCACAGAACTAGCCTTCTCTGTCCTGAACTCACCCCTCCCCTCTTGGGCACCTCTCACACTATTTCTCTGTGACCTAAGGAAAAACTTGCTGCCTTGCTCCCTCTGGCCTCTCAGGACTGTCCTAAGCAGCCAGTGGGCCTCAGTTTCCCCCAGGGAGGCTGCCTGGGACTCTGCGTGGCTGCAACCCCGGGGGCGCCGAGCACGACGGTACACAAGGAGTTAAGCGCTGGTGAAGCCCACTTTTGCCACACCGCGAGCAGCCTGGTTGATAATTACAGTTCTGAAGTCTCCAGGCTATTCGAATCAGTGCAGCTGCAACCTCTTCAGTGGTAACCCCTGAAACCAGACAAACTGGGTTTATTGTGCTGAACCAGTCCTCGGGCCCCTCCCTGATGGTTACAAATTGACAGCAATGGACTTAACAGCCCTCTTCACTACCCCTTTCACTCTACCTGGCTGCACAGCCACCAATTTGAATCACAGATGCCTCCCCGCCCGCAGCTGCTCACCAACCCACCCGCCACCTCCCTGCGCTTCGCCAGAGGCTCCTCTGGCCCTGCCACGCCAGGGTGAGGCCGCTGGAAGCACATTTCATCAATATTTAAAATGGAATTAAACCTGCAGCTTTGATTAATGCCTCCCAGATCCTGGGAGTGATTACTATTTTGCAAATTGCGATTGTTGGAATATGTTAATATGATTGTCTGAGAACATCTTCACCTTCTCGGATAATTTCCCCCCCACCCTTTCTGGCAAGAGGGGAGGGGGGAAGGGGAGGGCAAAGGATGGGAAAAAACACCCCACAAACTCTTTAATCATTTGTAAATTATTACCCTCAGCACAATTGCCCGTGGTTCAGAGGGGAAGGAGAGGGAGATTTCTGGTTTGGTGCATTTATCTGGAAAAGTTCTAGGCCCCCATTGGTTCAGTAATTCCTCTCTGGGACACAATTCCAAGGGAATGATCTGTTTGTCTCCGTACTATTTAGAATCAAGAAAACGGAAATAACCGACATTTCTAAAAGCAAGAGCATGATGACTTTGCCACAGTTCATTCATTGAACAAATGATTTTGAGACACCCACTGTGTGTGAGCATCAGCTAAGCTGGGGAAACAGGGGAGGCCCTAGGGGATACTTAGCAGCTATTGAAAAGAATATGGTTTGAAGGCTACAAAGCAATATAGGGGGCTGTTTTTGATATGATGATGATAATAATTAAAAAAAAAAAAAGGTGGGGAGAGACAAGCACCAAAACTTCACAGATAGAGTCATCCATACAGTTTGTGCCCAGAGGAAACATTAAAGATGCCAAATCAAAATGTGAGTAATTGTCCACTCTGGACATTGGGACTAGAGAGGCTCTTCTGTTTGGGGTCTTTCCCAAATCTGTCATTAAGGTGTTATCGACAATAGAAAAAATGAAATTAACTATTGGCTTCTTTCTTTTTTATTTATTTCTTTATTTGTTTATTTGTTTGTTTGTTTATACAAGCACTGGGCATAGTCAGAAGCGCGGGAGGGTGAGAGAATTCACCAGAGCCAGAGCGGGGAGCAGAGCAGGCAGAAGGACCGAAGTACACTGCTGGGGGGAGCAGCGGGCGGCAGGAGAGGTCTGCGCGCCATGCGGGACCCTCCTCCGGTGGCCGGGGAGCAGCCGGGGATCGAACTGGCGCCGCAGAGGCCGCAGGCAGCTTCGCAACCCAGCGCTCAACCGCTGCGCCACCGGGGAGGCCCTCTTTTTTTTTTTTTTTTTTTTTTTTAATTTATTTATTTATACAAGCTTTGAGGTACAGGCCAGAGGTGCAGGAGGGTGAGAGAATTCACCAGAGACAGAGCGAGGAGCAGAGCAGGCAGACTGACCGAAAGCACTGCTGAGGGGAGCAGCGGGCGGCAGGAGAGGTCTGCGCACCATGTGGGAATCTCCCCTGGCCGGCCAGGAATCGAACCGGCACTGCAGGGGCCGTGGACAGCCTCACAGCACTGTGCTCAATCCTCTGCGCCACTGGGGAGGCCCTATTGGCTTCTTTCTTACCCTCCAGTTTAACACGTTGGGAATTTCATGCATCTGATAATTGAAATAAGATCTCTCTAGATTCCTAGAAACATCGACTGGATTCCTGGACTTCTGAAAAAGGGCAAAGGCCCAGCAGAAAAGTATTGGTAAAATGCCTAAAGATCATTGAATAGATCCGTCTCCCAGAAGAATTCCACAGAACTTATGTGGACATCTTGCGCTCGGGAGGTGGAACCTTGTTCCTCACGCCTTAGGTGTGGGCTGTGCGAAGTGGCTTTGGCCTAGGAGGACAGCAAAGAGAGAGAGGGTAGAAGAGCCCCTTCTGGTGGGGAGACCTGGCCCAGCACCTCAGCCAGGTGACCCCGTGCAAGGCGAACCGGGGTCAGCCCTGTGGATGGTGGGTACCCTTAATGGGAGGTGATGACCATGGCCTTGACCTCTGTGGTTTTCCTCCCAAAAGCCTATCATTCCAGCCTAATCGTGAGAAAACACCAGAAAAACTCCAGTCAGGGGACGTTCTACAAAATACTTGACCAGACCTCAAAAATGACATCCAGACAGGGCCTCCCTGGTGGCGCAGCGGTTGAGCGCTGGTTTGCGAAGCTGCCCACGGCCTCTGAGGCGCCGGTTCAATCCCCCGCTGCTCCCCGGCCACCGGAGGAGGGTCCCACATGGCGCGCAGACCTCTCCTGCCGCCCGCTGCTCCCCTCAGCAGTGTACTTCGGTCCTTCTGCCTGCTCTGCTCCCTGCTCTGGCTCTGGTGAATTCTCTCACCCTCCCGCGCTTCTGACTGTACCCAGTGCTTGTATAAATAAATAAATAAATAAACAAATAAATAAATAAATCTTTAAAAAAAAAAAAACTTAAAAAAAAAAAAATGACATCCAGACAAAGAATTCCTGAGAGATGGTCACAGCCTAGAGGAGCCGAAGGGGGTCAAGCCCTCTAAATGTAAGAGGGGGGTATGGTGTCCTGGGTGGGATCATGGACCAGAAAAAAGAACATTCGGGAAAGAGGAAACCTGAAAGAGTGGGCTCTCGTTGGTACGAATGTATCAGTCAGTATTCTTCATGCATTGTAACAAATGCACCCTACAATGAAGATGTAATAGGGGTGCTGGGGTGGGGGGGTTACTGGGAACTTTCTGCACCATGTTTGTAATAATTCTGTCAATCTGAAATTTGTTCTAAAATAACTCATTTAGTTTAGAAATATACACAAATCGGGCGAGCGCTCTAAAAGGTGAGTTTGATCATATTCTCTGAGAGGAGCAGAAAATTTTTCCCACCCAACCATGCAAACCACAGTGGTTCACACTCTCTCTCTCTTCTGCCCCCACACACCACGACCCATGAGCCGACACTTCTTTGCACACTTCTTTATTTGTTCTCCTCTCTCTTCATAGACTGTCAGCCCCCACGGCAGGGACCAAGTCTCCTTGTGGCTCCCTGGCCCCAGCATACGGTAGGTACCCAAGACATGATCTGTCAGCTGAAGTCTTGCCGTGACTGCCATCAGCAAACATTCCCCGAGCAACTCCTTTACCCAGATCTCAGTTCAGTGTCACTGCCTCAGCTCCCGGGTCTGTTCATATCCAGCCGCAGTCCCTCTTCATTTTACCTTCTTCACAGCTTATGCTTTGCGCTGCAGTTTTATTGTTTAATCAGAAGGTTTCATTCAAACTGCAAG